TGGGTGACATGGATCAGAATCAATCACTATCGTGTCGGTGTATACATTCCCTTAAACTAAGAGATTGAAATCGCCTCATATCTTTCTTTCTATGAACTAATTGTTTCTTCCTATACTATATCCTTATACACAATCTTTCTTTTATATATTACCACCTCTGAATTAACTACTTCTATGAATCCGGTGTTTATCTTGTTGTGTTAATGAGGTATGGCAACTTGGACCGATGCATATATGTGCTTGCTCCTACGATGTAACTGACTGACTAAGACATAATAATGAGTACTATGCGTTTGATACTCAATGGGCTGAATACAATGATATCAAACATTCAAGATGTGGATGAATTTCAAATTTATGCCTACTCACATTTTATGTTGAAGTTTACAATAGCCCAAACGTATAATAGAATGAATTTTTAAATATTTAACGAATATACGCTTATTTTTAATTTAATAGTTGAATTCATGAGTAGATCAAAGTTAAACCATCATGGAAAATCTGGGGGAACTGGAGGGCTGTCTCTTCCAAGTATGAGACTCCTCAGCAGTGTGCATCCACAATCCCGCTTGTGGGACTGGAAACCAGCACCTTCGATGTTGCACGCGAACGCTTAAACTCTAGACCATTGAGCTGGACAACATCTAACGGTGTTAATGTGTAAACTCAATCAATCCACTATATTGCGCCATCTTCCACCATTGTATTCAGCCAGTTACTGCGTCACAGTCGAAACAGTTGAAGTCCACTTATTTACTTACGCCTGTTACTCCTTATGAAGGAGCACAGGTCGCTCACCAGCATTCGCTATCCAACCCTGTCCTGGGCAATCCTTTCCATTTGTTATTCATCTTTTTCATATCTGCTTCTATTTCCCTACGTAATCTGTTCTTTGGCCTTCCTCTTTTCTGCTTACCTTCCTATTCATTTCCATTGTCTTCTAATTTCCTCTTCAGTTGGAAGCTGGTTTGTTCTCTCCCATAGCAGGTTGTTAGTGATGTTATTCGGCCAATGGATGTTGAGTATCTTGCATAGACAACTATTTATAAACACTTGTACCTTCTTGAATTATAACTTACTGATCTTAAAATGTTATATTCATTGAATAAATGAACATCTTAAGTCTAATCTGTAGTTGTAGTAGTGTATTGTTTATCTGTTACGAATCAAAATGAAACAACTAAAATACTTGAGTATCTGAAGACATTTATCTGAGTACTTCAATATGAGACGGATCTCTTTATTTCAACCGAATATGTATCAGAAGAAAGAATCATTGATTTACTGGTTGGAATCAATAAGGAAATGAAGGCTTTTTTTTTTAAAGAAAAACATACACAATATTCAACCAAAACAAAATGACATTGAACCATTTATCACATAAGAAAATCACTAAATAGCATTCAATGGAGAAGTCTATTGAACCGTTTGATAAGAAACAACAAAGACTTGTTGAATAGATCATAGATTTGCTAAATAATGCTTTCAGAAACTAGTAAAAGAGATTGGAAACATTTTGTCCAATCAGCATACGCCACAACAGATTGTATCGGATTGGATCATTACTTATTATGTCACTTGACTTAAAAGAGCTTAGATTTTCAATAAAATCTGTAAGTACTAATGTTTTCTGTAACTAAATCTTCTATATTCACTTTACACTTTCTCTTTACTGTTCTAAGCTCAAGTGCATAAGAGTTATATAGATCTCGAAAGTGAAGTCATTGTCAAGCGTTCAAATAATAGACTTATCAAGACAATTCACTGATTATAGATCTCTAAGAGTACGAAACTTAAGTTCAGTAGTTCTTTTCTTTGCTAAATTCAACGAAGTAGACCATATTACAAGTTATATCCTTGGGATCATTTTTTTTTATTATTTTGGTATTCAATTCAGTGTTTATAGTTGAGAATCTATGTTCTTGTTTAAGTTTGAACGTTTTAGTTATGTAAATGAGATTCGATTAGTTGTTGTCACCTTGTACTATGTACACATTCTGTAATTGGAATGAACACAATTATCGATCATCTAAATTTTAAAATACCTCAGTAAGTTATAATTAGAGCTGTTTCTCTAATCTAAACAAACACACACACACACACAAGTTCATTTCAAAAGTCTGTAATCATAAGAATAACTCATGAGGAAGATTTTGACAGTCCCTTGTCATTTGAGTTAACTTGTTTCATATTCACGTTTTCATTATCTTGAACTAAGCTTAATGAAACAACTATTTAAAACTAGAAAGTAATGGACAGTTGTTTCATTCTAGTATGTACTTGCTCAGTAGTGCTAAACTACTACTCTTATTATTATTTGAACACATAAATATTGGTACAATAGGGCACTAAATATATATGCGCCACAACATACTTTTGTGGGCTGTGATACTGCCCGGGTGCCCAAACCGAATAAGATGGTTTTCTTAGGGGGCCACACCCCGAGCCTTTGACCTAATGGTCTAACCCACAAGGCAATGGAGCATCGTGACGAGATGCAGTCCCATGGTAGCCGGTGACCAAAGATTGGTTCACACGCTATTTGTTCCCGCAGGATACTGGAGCGAATGTGCACCGTTGGTTTGGGATCCGGTTAAGCGCCGGACATCCGCTTTTCGTTCTCTCATTTTTGTAAACAACAACCCCGCCACGAGAAGGCAGTGAGTAGGACTTCCCTGGCAGAGGCTATATACGCGTGGCCGTGTGAGAGTATTTCGAGAGGGAGGGCGGGCCCCCGGTTGGGTTTAATTTTTTAATTTGGTTAAAAAAAAAAATTTAAATTTAACCGGGAACTCAAAATGAAAGAGGTGAACAAGACATGGAAAAAAGGGAGGCAAACATAAAAGAAGAAGTCGATTGAGGCTTGGGGAAGGAAAAATTAATTTCCAATTTTTTTTTTTTAAAAAAAAAAAAAAAAATTAATTTAAAAATTTTAAATTTTAAATAGTTATTTTTATAAAATTAAATAATATTAAAAAAACATTCGGGCAACAAATGTATACGTTGCCACAGTGGAAAAGTCCTATAAACTTTTTTTCTACAAACTAATTGTTTCTTCCTGTACTATATTCTTATATGCAATCTTTCTTTTATATATTGCCACCATTGTATTAACTATTTCTATGAATCCGGTGTTTATCTTGTTGTGTTAATGACTGAGGTATGGCAACTTGGACCGATGCATATATGTGCTTGCTCCTACGATGTAACTGACTGACTAAGACATAATAATGAGTACTATGCGTTTGATAGTCATACATACTCATGCATATATGTGCCTGATCCTGACTGACTAGTTCCAACATTTGTAGAGAAGACAAGTCTACGTATTAACAATAGAAATTAATGAATGTTAAACAAAAGGAATCGTGTATCATTGAGTATATTTCAAGAATAATATATCTGATGACTTTTTTTTATAAAAAAAACAATCCTTCCTTAAGTAGAGTCGTATTCATAAATATTGTACAAGTTTACTAGCTAAAAACTGTCAACATCATGAGTTACGGATACTATTGAAAAATTGCTTCTTGAATGAGTTGAAATACAAATACAGAAAACAAAAGGTTTTGTACTATCCGAACAAACTTCAGATTTCATCAAGAATCACAAGAGAATTATGAAGAAACACTAGACAACCAACTTATCCTAGAATCAAATACATTACAATTTAAATCCATGTATTATAATTAGTATCAACCTTTGTTTCAAATAGTGACTGGTTTAGCATAACGTGTCATGATGATGAATGTACCTAACTTTATGAGTTTCAGTATTCTCTGAGGAACAATAGTTTAGATAGTTAGTTTTATGTAATTGGTTTCCCCGTAGATATAAACACTGGAAGAATAACAATATTCTCATAATCGCTTAAGTGGAGAACACTTTAAAAAATGGTGTTGTATTATGCCAATATTATGGTCAATAATCTAAACGAATAGTTCCATAGACATTAAGGACTATGTATGTAGTGAACAATGAATATATTTTTTGATGGAGTTTTGTTTGGTCGTGACTAAACCATCTAGCTCAAAGAACAAAATTCCATTAAAATCATCTACCTGAGCAACAAATCTCTCCCACCATCTCATAATGAATCATTGATTATTTTCAACACATTATCTGAACTTTTAGACTACGTTTATTCCAGGAAATAATCGAAATTTAATAAAGCTAGATGTAATTGTATAATAAAGTTTAGACGCAAGTGATTAAGGGTATCAGTTTGTTTAAACTGTTCATCCTCTTGTCTAATTATGTTGGTCCAATGAACAAGAGTTTTTCTGATGAATTTCTATGCTTGATTTAGAACTAAACAGAAAAACTAAGATAGCATGAGTTGTATCCATAAACGAACATTAAATTTCAGACTGATTATGTGACCGCCTTCGAATATAACAGCCTGAGTTTGTCAATGTTGAAGGTCGCTCCTCTCTCAAATACATTTATTCTAATCATTTCGAATTGATACGTATAGCTTAACCCGCTTTTTGACTGGTTACTCATTACTAGTTATTACATAGGTTTTTCTTGAGATACGAAAACTATCCCAGAAAGACTAGTTACCTCCGTTTTTATATACGTCAGGCTGTATCATAGTCAAAGTGCTGTTCAGTTTATCCGGGTGCAACGAATCGACCTTCGTACTATTAGTAATTATGAGGTTGTATTGGAAGCTCCCATATCAACAACAAAGAACAAGTTTTGCTATCAGCGTTCAGTGTTCAGATGAGTAAATACATTTCATTTACTCACGTCGCGTGATCAATATCCAAGTTAAACACAGTAACCAACACTGTAGATTCGTCTATTTGGGGCTTTGAGCTAAACTTATGTATGAAGACTAATGATCATATTCACATTTATTCAATTCGAAGTAGATGGGATGGGATTTTGAACTAACAGCTTAACCATTCAAAATCGAATATTTCGAATCACAAAGTAGAAAGCCAAAACAAAAAAAAAAACATTTGAAATATCATTAATATACTGTACAAGGTATGATATGATCTTTGAGATGTATTTGCTTAGTCTTCACCATTTGATCGACGAGCACGTTTACCGCCACGGGATGATCTACGAGCAAAATATTGTTTTCGTCTTTTACGTTCATTAGCAGCTTTAATGGCATTTTCTTTAGCTAATTGTTTCTTATGTTTTGTTACACGATTAATCATTTTCTCTTTTTGACGTTGCATAAAATCTGAGTGTAATTGACGTAGACGCATAATTAATTCTTGTTTTGACTCAGATTCCATTTCATCAGCAGTTTTAACTGGAGCAGGTATTTCAGCATTTAAAGCAGCTTTTACAGGATCTCCACCAAGCATAGCTAATGCTTCTTTACGTGATGGCTTAGGTTTATACGCAAATGGAAGTGCTGCGGCCAGTTTGGTTGGGATACGTAAAGGTGCTGTAATGTGTACCGGACGATTTATAGGCTGCATATAGAAATAATAATAATAATAATAATAATAATAATAATAATAATAATAATAATAGTAATAATAATAGTAATAATAATAATAATAAATTCAGATTTTTACATGTAATTATCACGATAAGGGCAGTATTGATTAAAATTCCTATACTTTAAGTGTATGACTAAAGGTCGAACTCAGATTCTCATAAGAATACAAGTGTGTGGGAGCTTGTTCGCAATAGAGCAGATCTTAAAATACTTACACTTTTTATTCCATGAACTTATTCTCTCTTCATTAATAGTTTTACTAATGCTTAACATTTTAAATTACCAGTGACAATGTTGGTACTTCTGTTGTGAACGAGAATACATGTGGAAACAACCAAATGTATTCCAATACAATATTACAGAATCTCTTAGTGAAATATGAGAACCATATATTGAGTACTTTATTTACAAATTTCCATCACTTATCCTTCATATTCTGTATGATTCTACCGATTAACAATTCCTTTTTTAATTCTGTTTCTGTTTTATTTAAGTCGACCTTCATAGCCTTCTGCTGCCAGGTTTTCCACTTCCGGTTGGTATTATAATTACTACTTATGTCGACAGCCGAATAAATATTCAGGCACCATCTTAACTACTGAATAATAAATAGGTAGTATAGAGTAATATAAAAAAATAAATAGAACTTATTAACAGATTCCACACTCACTTTATACTGTGAATCTGGATTACATTCTGTTTTGATACCAGCTTCCCATTTAAGTTCACCTAGTGTACGAAGTAAGCGCCAACCTGTAGTATTTGTATCTTTTTCTCCAACAATAGGTAAAAGTCTATTAAGAACTGGATTATAATATTTGGGCAGTTCAACAGCGAAAAATGTTCTCAAGAAAACTATATCAGCTTTCCTAATTTGTGCTTCAAATGTAGCACGAAAATCACCAGGTTTCGATGTTGATGGATTAGTTAATGCAGCTTTAACTAAACCTATGATTGGTAAAAGATAAGAATTAAGAAACATTTACTGGAAATGAAATATAACACAGAGAAAAATCATTAAAGTGTCATATATTCCTTCATGTATAACTTTGGATAAAACTAGGCTATGAGAATTGTATTTACTGCTCAAGGGATAGTGATACTATTCACAGGTTGTCTTAAATCCTGGTGAGAAGAGATAGCATTAGAATTTGTCAACAGTAAATCCATAAATCAATTAGACATCATCATATGTTAAATGAAATACATTAATTGGACACATTCCATATGTACTTCAACTGCTTTGAATAATTCTGACTTAAAATTTATACAGAAAAATTCCTAAAAATGTGTGAAAGTCAAAGTAATTACTATCGGAGTGCACATTCTATTTACCAGACATATTTCACATAAAGAATGGACTGGCTGTGTTATCCAGACAGACAAAGCTCTGTAATTAAATTATCTAGTTTACAGAGTTCATTATTTATTAATTTGGACACATAAATATTGGTACAAGAGTGCGCTAAATATATATGCGCCACACAGAACAATGAGAATTTAAAGAGAAGGAAAAAGACACAAGGTAAGGAGAGTAAAAAAAGAGAACAATAAGAAAGAGATTGGAGTAAGGTAGTGTAATAATAATAACAGTAATAATGGGGGAACGGAAAGGTACAATCAGAAGAAATCTTTCAGTTAAGGAAGGTACAACCACTTTTTACGAAGAAAGTAAAAGAAGGTTACAGCAGGATCGCCACTGGCTTCTATTCTGAGCCATATCTGATAACGACTTTAGCCACTGTGTTGCACCATCTCTCAGACCCCAGCCAGGGAGTCGTGAAGGACCAACACAAGACAGTCCTTTGTAGCTTTCTTTCATGCCACGACGGCATGTCATATACTGACCACCTCTCCGCTTTTTCCAACCAGTCTCAGAGTCGGCAAATAATGCACGACGTGGAATTCTCTGGGACGACATTCGTAGAACAAATATATTATTTTTTATTTATTCGTAGAACATGTCCAAGCCACCGAAGTCGTGTTTCAAGATGGTGACATCAATTGCATTATCGTCTCTGCCCGAATACACAATGCCGAACCTCTGCATTACTAACATGGTATTGCCACTGGATGTCAGCAATCCTTCGGAGACAACGATGATCGAACACAGAGTCGTCTAACATCCTCAACTAGGAGAGGCCAGGTTTCACAAGCATAGAGCAAAACTGCTCTCACCGACGCGTTGTAGATCCAACCTTTTACAACCAGACTAACATCACGAAGGCGCCAAAGGTGGCCCAGATTGGCATAAGCCGCTTTGGCTTTTACTATACGTGCATTGGTCTCATCACTCACGCCACCAGCACTTATGCAGCTACCTAGATACACGAACTTCTCGACTACGTCTATCTGCTCACCATCCAGAGTGAGTACAGGATTGGGATCCTGCCAGTCTTGTGGAAGTACTTTGCACTTCGAAGGTGCGAAGCATATACCATACAGAATTCATATGAATTGTAAATCTTTTTCATAATTCCAGAAGTTACGAATATTGAATAGAAGAAAGAATATAAATCAAATGGAATAATATCCAACACTGTATTAAGTACTCACCTCGTATTTTCGAAGCAGTTTGTATACGACAACCAATCATTTTACTCACTTCTAAAGGACTATTAAACATACCGCGAATAAATGCGGTTTTTGAAAAAATTTTGAATGGTTCACCAATTAATTTCAATTTTTTCATAATTTGAAATGATTGATTAGTATCAATAACACTGCCAGTACCAGCGACACGAAAAGCTGGTAAATGTGGATTTTTTGGATCATCAATTGATTGCCAAGAAGAATTCACAAAAGCAATTACTCCAGTTTTTGGTGGTACCAATGGACCATAAATAGTTGCTAGACAATGTTCATGCGGTAGTGAATATTTTAAGAAACGTTTACGCAAATTATGCTCTTCTTGTGAAAATACTGTAACAGTTTGATATCGTCTCCAACCAATTGATACTGTTAATGGATCATTTGAACGGAGAACACGTTTAAGCCAACGATGTGTACGAAAACGAATTTGTAAATAACCGAAAGCTTCTTCAGCACTGGATAAGCCACCAGCAACTAATGGTTGACAGGGATCAAATCGTGTCAGAAATTGTTGTGGAACACCTATAATTAACATGGTTTAGTGGTGTAAAGATATTGCCAGAATAGTTGATTAGTCTAAATAAAATTCATATTATTACATTACGATATAATCAAGTGTATATATGACTATTGATCTATCAAAATAATTTTTTTGTTGTTCTTTGGTCTCTTTTCCATTTTTTTTATCCGATTTTAGATGATTATAAATACAAAGTAATAAGACTGGAATGGGTCGTCTATACTATGATCATTCTTAAACATGAGATCTTAGTCCTTAGGACTAAGAAAATACTGGTTCCTAATTGTTAATCACTTTGCAATATCAATTAATTCAAAACGGTCATGATATTTAGCTGCGCCATTAACTTAGCAAAATTACGATTCTTCTATACTGTTTATATTAAAGACAACTTTTCGTTTACAAGAATAATAGCTATTATTCTTGTATGCCCCGACAATAATATTATACTTCAAAATGTCACCTATGATGATACAACTTGTCTGCCTTTCATTATTGAAATCTTTGAGACAATTGTACGGTCAAAACAATTTACGAACCAAGTCTTGTCCACTCCTTTTCATAATAACCTGATCATGTCTGTAAACTAGAGTGTATACCAAGTGAACTCGTGACAGCTTCAAACCCAACAATTTTCAGAATACATACTATATTACTATTATTGTACGCAATTCCTGAATTATGGGTATGAATATGATTATTTTGCGTTATATTCATTTTTGTGAGTCAGCTACAGCGCAGGACCAGGTAGATACATGCATCGGTTCAAGTTGCCACACCCCATTAGCACAGCAAGACGAACACTGGATTCCTAGAGGCACTTAACTCCAGCCATCCCAAACACCAGTCAGCATTGCACGTCGTGGTAATCGGTGTTCAGGCATACGAAACACGTGGCCCAACCATCTCAGTCGATGAAGATTCACAGCCTCATCAACTGATTTACCATCATTCCCTAATACCTTGCGTCTAACCTCACTATTACTTACCCGGTAATCCCAGCAGATGTGAGCAATATTTCTAAGGCATCTGTCGTCAAATACTAGTAGCTTACGAGTATCCTCTACTCTTAATGGTCGTGTTTCGCTGCCGTAAATTAAAACAGAACGGACCGCCGCGAAGTATACTCTTCCTTTTATTTCAGGAATCGGTATAACAATTTATGACTTAATTATTCCTTTGTTTTGTGTAAGTGAAGGTACCAGAGAATAAAAAACTTGTGATTTTAACACATTGTCGCTTGTATAAATTACGAATCAGACATAATTTGATACTAATTTGATTAAATGAAACCTATTCATTCAGTGGGAAAAAGATATCGACATAAATCTACGAATCTATCAAAAAAAGAATTCAATCATAACGGTTGAATATGACGAATCCTGATGAAAGGCACTTTAAGAGTGTAATCAAATTCAAACTACGTCTGTTTATTCGTGTGGTTTGTCTATTAATCTGCATACATGAAACATAATATTCTCAATATATTTCATGTAAGACATCTGTTATTGTAGGTAATGTGTATGTGCAACGAGATTAGTCTAAGTATTATATACAAAGTTTAATCGGGATATTAATTTGGAATAAGTCGAAACCTCCAAGAGTTAGATGTACTTATTAAAGATCTAACTGCAAGAAAAATGATATCAAGGAACAATCTGATATTTAGCTAAGAACTTTTGAATTACTTATCCAGTAATCGACACGAAAAAATGCAAAAATTCAACCTACTAAAGACAAATAAATTATATCAGAAGGGGTTTTGTGGAGATTGTAATAATTTCAATAGTTGAGATCATGAGTCAATAGGACGAAATGGCCGTCCAGTGCTTTCAGGTTTTCTATGGTGGTCTGGCTTCAATTGACTCATGATCTCAACTAATGAAATAAATTGTGTATCAAGTACTAAGTCATTTTTAAGTAGTTACATCTGATGGAACACAATTAACATAAATTTCTAAACTTTGTTAACATTTACATTTGTAATAACAAAACTCATCATTTATAGTACTACTTATTTACAAGTGAATTTTAAAATTAACTTTATATTCACATAAATAAAAACAAAACAAACCTCTAATTTCAATTCGAACATAAACTCCAGGTGGAAAACCTTCTAAACGATTAACAACTTCTTCAGGTAAACTTTTTAAAACTTCTCTATTTAATGCTTGTTGTGCTTCACGTGTAGCAACAAGTTTATCATAGAATGCGGTAGCTTCAGGACCACCACCAGCTGCTTCATAGAGTTGGTTAAATAAAGCTTTATGACGTTGTCTTTTCTCTAATAATTTCTGTCGTTTAGTTGGTCGTAGTAGATTCTAAATATGAGTTTTTAAAATAAAAAAAATATTAATCCTCTTTTAAATAAAGACGTAATGTTAAAGTCATTTAAATATACAGTAGTCCAGATTATTACATCCACTGGTTAAGATTAAATATAAATATACTGATTGGTTTATTTATAATCAGTCAGCGCTAGTGGACGAATCGAGACGTTAGGAGGTTTTATGTAAATTATATATAAGCATTGTTCCTATTAGCAAGGACAACATTTCTACAGTTGAAAAACATATGGAACTCAAAACAACTGTCTGTCAACCAATATCAGGTCAGAATCTTCAATACAAACGTCAAGATAGTCCTTACTGTACGCGACTGGAACTCAGAGAACTACCACATCCATCATCAAAAATGTACTAGTACTTATAAACAATTGTTTATGTAAAATACTGAATTTCCGTTGGCTGGATACCATCAGCAACAACCTACTGTAGGAAAGAACAAACCAAATTCCAGCTGAAGAGGAAATTAGGAAAAGATGATGGAAGTGGATAGAAAATACATTGAGGAAACCATCAAACTGAACCACAAGGCAAGCCCTAACTCGGAATACTGAAGGGAAAGGTAAAACAGAAATACCGAAAAACAAACTACGTCAGGAACTGGGAGCAGATATGAAAAGGATTGCCCAGGACAGTTAGATGGAGAAAGTCGGTGAGAGACCTATGCTCCTCCATGAGGGGTAACAGGTGTAAGTAAGTAGTTGTTCCTACTATCGTGTCTCTGTTGTTTGGCTTCTTTTAATATATATATATTGATGATTATGAATTTTCGCTCTGATCTGAAAATAGTTGAGTGAAGTATCACAGCAAGATAATACTAAGTTATACAAAAACATAATCAAAACAATGATTATCATGTAACTGATTGAAAGTTGAATACTGAGAATGATACCACGATTATTTAGATTTTTGTGCTCACTACATTTTATCACTCAGGTTGTGCGATATCATATGGACCAAGTCTTGATATTAGATGGTTGGAGACAGTGGTTAAATATCATGATCTTACAAGAGGTCAGGACCTGTACTTATATCTTCGTAGTAACATCTTGAACTGTAATGACGAAGTGCAAGAGTTCGAATGTCACAGAAAGTCAGCAAAGTTTCAAATTCCTTATTGCATTAGACATGATTGATTTAGAAGATCAAACTGATCAGTTCACGGCAGCATATTGGCTACGTGTATGCATGTTGAAATATTATTGATTGAGGATTGATAAAGTGACTTGACAGCGCAGTTTAAGATATCCGTTTCATCAGGTTTAAAAATCACCAATCGGGTATACTGGTGTATTTGTTCCCACTGATAATGATGGCTTAGTGGTAGAAGTGTTGAGCTTTCTATAAATATTTTGCAGATTTGAACAAGGATTCACACATCTTGGTTTGAGCAGTCAGATAATATCATGAGCTTAAAGGTAACTGCATAAAACCGTACCCGGTAATGAGTTACATTAAATTTTAAAAAGAGCTTTCATGGAAACCTGAACCTTGTACTGATTGTTCCAGGGGTCAAAGCGTCATTTATTAGCCGAATGAATTAAGGTAACTACACATGGTTTAGAAGATGAGAGTCGTTGGCATAGTTTGAGGCAACCAGGTGTTCTTACAGATGATTTTGACTGTCGAAAGAAACAACTTCTTTAGTAAGTATAGAGCTTACCAGGAGGATAGAACTCTGACTTTCGAAACGACAAAAATTGCGCTAAAGCATGAATATTTTTATTGTTAATGTGCTTTCATTGATACGTAAATTAGGGGTGATGCATGATCGTAAAACTTAATCATTTCTAAGAATGATATTACAATTCAAATCGTTTGAAAATGATCTTATTCGTCAAACAAGATCATATACGCACTGACCTTATCGTATTCACTTTCCAAATTTGCCAAGTCCTTTGATGCAATACCTTTATTGTTACTTGGATTATTTTCGTCCTCAGAGTTTGAATCATGGAAAATATTTTCATCCTCTGACTCCTGATTATAACCATCTTCATCATTATTCGATTCACTATCATTAACATCGTCATCATCATCACCACTGTTATCGGAATTGTTTTCCACTCCTTCAAAATCATCTGAATCATTATCATAAAATGATTGCTTTTCATGGTAAGTATGCTGTACACGACTACCAGATGCGGCAGCATATTTTTAGCCTCATTCATTTTTAATTCTTCTCGTGCTTTAGCATCTTTTTCCAATAGTGTTTGAGCATCTTCATTCTCACCCCAATGACCAGTGGTAAATAGATTACGAATTAAATTATGAGATGATGAATCCTCCCATGATAATACAGTTGATTTATGAATTGAACAAAGAGTAAAATCATGATCTCCAATGGTTGGTTGGTTAGAACTTTTAAGGGGATTTTCATTTGCATCTAATAAAATATGAAATTAATTACTTTTTTGGTAAGATGTATGAAGAAAAAACGGTACACGATTAGCTTATTTTATCAATTGGTAACGAGTTACTTTTAAGTATTATGTCGAACATATCAGTACTAACTTCTAGTCTAAACTATGTCGGTAGATGTACACTACTTGGCCGAGGTCCGCTTGACTATCATAACCAATGGTTGGATACTCTGGGTGACATGGATCAGAATCAATCACTATCGTGTCGGTGTATACACTCTCTGTCTTCCCTTAAACTAAGAGATTGAAATCGCCTCATATTTTTCTTTCTACTAACTAATTCTTTCTTCCTATACTATGTCCTTATATGCAATCTTTCTCTTATATATTACCACCTCTGAATTAACTACTTCTATGAATCCGGTGTTCATCTTGTTGTGTTAATGAGGCACGGTAACTTGAACCGATGCACATATGCGCCTGGTCCTAACGTTTTAGTTGACTGACTGACTGACGAACTTATCAGTATTGAGAAAACATTTTCACGGTTATAAGGTATTTACCGGACAAAGATATCAGTTATCATCTGAATTATTGTAAAAATTTCAGTGAATAAAGAATAATAAGCTTGTTATAAAACGTTGAATTGCATATGAATTCGAAAATCTACGATTGTGAAGGTAGAACCGCTGTAAAAAAATTCTGAGTTGTCAGGAAGGAAGATGTTATTAATTGATGAGATCAAATATCAACTGTTAGAATGAATAAAACATGTTGACCGACCGATGATACACAATAATATGATGTGTGGCCAAGTGATGTATGCTCAGGAGGACTAGTTCGTGACCTAAGCCTCTGAATGATTTGAAATTAAAGACAAACCTAATAATCTGATAAATAAATTCCTAATGTGGTAGAATGATATGAACTAGGTGCACTAAGAATAACTGTACTGAAACACATAAATGTCTGAATATTGATGATAAATTTCTCTTAAAATTTTATTACACATAGTGAAATTACACATCAGAAAACTAGAAGGTATTTGGGGTGTTTCATGGAAACTATTTACGACTGTATAAAGGCTATGAAATAAAATGCTTTTGAGTCATATCGATAAATCTCTTTATTGAAGATTTCTTTGAATTCAAAGCCTGAGAACCGATTAAAAATGCAAACGGAATCACTAATCATATTAAAAACCAATACACATTATGAATCTTTTCATTTTGGACTAGAAATCATTCATATTTACTGTTTCCTGGTTAAATGGTGTCGAAAACTCCTTAAGGTTATTTTAGAAATTACTCAAATTCAACATTATACTTCAGCCTTAACAAGCTCAAATCTAACTAAATAACCGGTAATACTGAGGGCTTTGAGCGACCAATCGAAATTAAAATAACCGATATTAAATATTAGTATGAATTCACAATGCTAATGAGGATAGTTTACTGTTATATATATAATCTTGTTGATTAGATTTCATACTATGGATAGATTGGATGATAATTTTCCTGTGAAACGAAATGTTAGAATTAAAATGAGGAGTTAGAGTTAGGACGTTAAGGTATTATGATAGTCAGTCTTAATAAGTTCATTAATTGGTAAAACTCTAAATACTTTTTCGTAATACAGAACACGATTACAAGAGCTATATTCTTAGTGGCTTATGTTTGATTAGCTAATCTTATGGTTATATTTTAAATCACTAAAGACCGTCAACATAGTATAGTTTTACCACTATTGTCAGTTTACCAATACACACCTTTGCTATTATAAGTGTGCATTTACCTATTTTTTTTAAAAACATAGGTGCATCTGTAATTCTTTGAGGGATTAAGTTCATTTGAAAAGTGAATTGTCAAGTGTAAAACATCAAAATTAAAACTTACCATTATTTATACCATAAACAATACGGTTCCAGTTGACTAAGGATACGGTTGTGGATTTCCATTCAATATCTGTAAACAAGATGAATTGTTTCTATAGTTCTCAATACTATTAATATTATTACTTATGAATTTTGTAAATGGCTTAGTAACATAACAGATTTCACAAACTAACGTCTCCACTGGGAACAGTAAGAGGTCGTGACGTATGTAAAAACCACCGCCTACTTCGACGGACGGTGTCTGGTGGGGGGTCGGTTAGAAGAAAGCTAGGGGCAGCCAAACCAAGACACAGCACCGGTCTACAAAGCCATCGATAGGTGGACTGACCTATATAGGTAGGTGTAGACTAACCGGTTGAAGTCTAAGTGATTATTGTAAGCAATGGTTACAGACTCTGGGCGACATTGCTCAGAATTATTCGCAATAATGCCAGCTGCATTTACTCTTTGTATCCCATGAAATCTGAGTCCTGAAATCAATTAATATCTTCTTTTTTCGACGCCTATACCTTTCTATTACTACTGACGTTGTGACTACATCTATTGGTCTTGATAATCGTATCTCTCTGTCCCAATGTGCTATGTCAACCTAAACCGATTTGTATACGTTTCAGGTTTCACAGGTGCATATGACTGACTGGGAACAGGAACGAAATAGCCGTCATTTTTGATGATATTTCGAAGTAATTTTGAAATAAATATCCTTGATTTTTCGCACAAAACTCCATGTTTTTTTTAGTGAAAACGTTTTATCTGGAGTGCTTTAACAATATTTCCTAATCAGTGGATGAGAAACATTTGAAATATGTATTGTTAAACATTACATAACAGTATGTTTTAAATTCATCAGTTTAAAGACGTTCTATTTATTTATTTTGGTAGATGGAATTCATGGTTACTTATAGATAACGTAGTATCTAACACAAATCTGTGTCATTCCAACTTACCACACCTCAAAATAAACCAGTAATTAACAGACAAAAGTGTGATGCAAAATCTAGACAATTAACCAACACCCTAATTGTAATCTAATAATAATTATAATTATAATCATAATTACAATCGTGGCTCATTAGTGATTAGCTTTGAGGAAAATCGCTAGTTCAAATGAAAAGCTAAAACTGGTTGGATCCAATTATACTGAAGATGATACATCACCAATGACATTGGATGATAACTACAAAATAAGACTGTGAACCGTTCAGATTTTGTGGTATAAAGTTATGATATTTTTCACAAAAACTAAAAGTACTGAGTTTGCTTTAGTACATGGTAGCGAGTGGACGCTAATTAACCCTAATCTAAAATGTAATAATCGTCTAACACTCCCTGGTCTTCGGTGGTTCTACACATGATATCCATTTGTGATGAAAACGAACTTCAAACTGAAAAATTCCTATGAATCCTCAATACTAAGAATTAACAAGTACTTACTACAACTAATATATATTAGTACAGTTCATGAACTAAGACGTGAATTACAAAAACACGGATCTCACCATCTAAAATTTGTTTTACTTGCATATGTGCACTCTTCGACACTGACGGATCTTGGTTCTTCTTCTGGAAGTTTCCATTTTCCTGAAATCCAGCTGGGACAAGAAATCCTGCAATAGGCTCTTCTGAAAATACACGTATTTCATCAGTACACTTGTCATTGTTCACATCATTTGGTTCTTCCATTGTAACATCATTCATCGAATTGTTTAGATTATGAAAACCATCATGATTATCCGCTATTTCTTCTGCAGACAGAAATGGTGCATTGCTGACCATACGAACCTTATGTGTTTTATTTAATCGCTCATCCAACCCACCAACTTCATTGAAAGTTGCATGTAATTCATCTAACATAGACTGACTAACATTTTGTGTTTGATTATTTCCATGTCGAGATTTACGATTAGTTAGATAGTGACTGCCTCCAAGATCAATATATGTCGCATCCCGGTCGAACAGAACACCACCGAGACTCGACATTGGAGCATATATCTAAATAGAAAGTGAAGTATTTGTGATATAATAATAATAATAATAATAATAATAATTTGTATTTATTACACTAAGTGATTTATGGCAGTGGTTCAGAAATTAAGTTTTGTGTGAGGGCCGGTAACATTACCTAACACTACAGATCAAAGTAGAAAGTGGTAATTAACTGTCATCTAGAATTTTCCTAGAAAAGTTACTGTTTTTCCCCTTAGCTGCATTTACTTACGACATACGTTCGATTTCTATCTACAATTATAGAGGACAACAGATTATGAATCACTTATTTATTAATACAGGTTTACGTCCTCAACTTTGAATCATATTCTTTGTATATGTGAGAGCTATTGATGCATCATGTGAACAAAACGTTTTTGTTTGATTGTTTGAATAGAAAACACGAATCTTGTCACAATATACAAAACTTATATCACATAAAAAACCCTGCGTGAATTCCTTGTTACAGATGTTCATTGATGGTGGTAAGATGTGTAAAATATACTATGAAAACTTGCTATTTCCACTCCTCGCTAATCAGTGATGTGAACAGTCTTTCACATCAGACAAGGTAATTATAGCCTTTATCGGTTTTACACAGGGAGATAATAAAAAAAAGTGGTGCACGGGATACTCACTAAACTGATAGTTTCCATTCAAATACTATACACAATACCCTGGCACTCAGTAACTAGCACTTAATATACGCATAAAAAATTAAAATATCAACAAAAATATACATTACTTTTCGATCACGTTCAGACAAATGTCTTGTTGTTTTCACAGGATCAGTACCGTTAGAATGAGTGAACATACCCGGTAATGGGCAGGGATCAGGCTGTTGAGTGCATTCAACTAAAGCAAAATCACCAAGTCCTGCAATGTGTATCCCAGGAGATGTCAATGCTGGTGGTAAGGGGGCACCACGAACCCACCCGTACAAACTTATACAACGGTCATTATTCATGTTGTTGGACGTTTTGTTGTCCGTTACATCTTCTATTCGATCAATTAGTAAGTAAGGATGAGAGCTACGCCAATCTGAAGGGCGAGGCGTTTTGACCATTATTAACCGAGCCAAACGTCTGACTTCATTTAGCAAATAATCACCTGGAGTGTCGCCTGCATTTTGTTTATCTGGTGTATGAGAGGGAACTAAAAATATAAGGTATACAAAGCATAATAACGCACATTACAGTGTGATACTGGTGAAGTTACTAAAAAGAAATACTAAAGTTTTAGAAAATTGCTTCCGAACACTGATTAGCACATATTAATTAAATGTTGGAGGCACTACCTGATTTCTTAAATCAAAGTAAGTTGGACACGGTTCTAGCCTGCGACTAGAAAATTAGAGGAAGTATTAGGTTCATCCACTTGTTTTAGTACTGATCAGAATGCAATACACTACAAAATACAAGAGAGTAGTTTTTACATTTTATGGTGACTAGCAAACACTGGACAAGATCAAAGAAATGAAGGACAAGAAGACAGCAATTAACAACAGCCGAACACGAGCAGAGAAAGTCCAAGCACAAGCTGAATACATAGAAGCAAACAAACAAGTGAAGAGGAGCATTAGAGCCGACAAGAAGAAATACGTGGAAGAACTAGCAACGACGGCAGAAAAAGCTGCTAGAGAAGGAAATATGAAACAGCTTCACGATACAACGAAGAAACTAGCAGGGAAATATAGTAAACCAGAGAGACCGGTCAACGAAAGAGAAGAAGGCAGGCCAATCACTGAAATTCAACAACAGCGGAACAGATGGATAGAATACTTCGAGGAACTCCTGAATAGGCCAGCTCCAATGAATCCACCGAACATCGAAGCAGCACACACATGGCGATCAGACAAATCAAGAGTGGGAAAGCAGGACCCGACAACATACCAGCTGAAGCACTGAAGTCAAACATCGAAGTAACTACAAACATGCTTCACCTTCTATTCAAAAAGATTTGGGAGGAGGAACAAGTGCCGATGGACTGGAAAGAAGGACACCTCGTCAAGATTCCAAAGAATGGAGATCTGAGCGAATGTGAAAACTACAGAGGGATTACACTACTGTCCATACCAGGGAAAGTCTTTAACAGAGTGTTGCTGAACCGGATGAAGGATGCAGTAAACGCCCAACTTCGAGATCAACAAGCTGGATTCCGTAAGGATCGGTCGTGCACAGACCAAATTGCGACACTACGGATCATCGTCGAACAATCAGTTGAGTGGAACTCAACACTGTACATCAACTTCATTGATTATGAAAAGGCATTTGACAGTGTAGACAGGAGGACGTTATGAGAACTTCTTCGACACTACGGAGTTCCTGAGAAGATTGTCAATATTATCCGGAACTCATACAACGGACTACAGTGCAAAGTAGTGCATGGAGGACAGCTGACAGATGCATTCCAAGTAAGGACCGGAGTCACACAAGGCTGTTTACTCTCTCTCTTCCTTTTTCTCCTGGTGGTCGACTGGATTATGAGGACCACGACATCTGAAGGAAAACACGGGATACAATGGACAGCTCAGAATCAATTAGACGATTTGGACTTCGCAGATGACCTGGCCCTCCTATCGCATACACATGAACAAATGCAGATAAAGACAGCCAGTGTAGCAGCAGTCTCTGCATCAGTAGGTCTCCGCATACACAAGGGGAAAACCAAGGTCCTCAAATTCAAACGAAGAACAGCAATCCGATCACTCTTGATGGCGAAACTCTGGAAGATGTAGAGTCCTTCACATACCTGGGAAGCATCATCGATGAACAAGGAGGTTCAGATGCAGACGTAAAGGCGAAGATTGGCAAAGCAAGGGCCGCATTCCTTCAATTGAAGAACATATGGAACTCAAAACAACTTTCAACCAATATCAAAGTGAGAATCTTCAATACGAACGTCAAGGCAGTTCTACTGTACGGAGCTGAAATTTGGAGAACTACAACAACCACAATCAAGAAGGTACAAGTATTTATAAATAGCTCTCTACGCAAGATACTCAACATTCATTGGTCTGATACCATCAGCAATAGCCTTCTGTGGGAGAGAACAAACCAACTTTCAGCTGAAGAGGAAATAAGGAAAAGACGATGGAAATGGATAGAACATACATTACGCAAATCGTCAAACTGCATCACAAGGCAAGTCCAAATTGGAATCCTGAAGGGAAGCGGAGAAGAGGAAGGCCAAAGAACACACGTCGGGAAATAGAAGCAGATATGAAAAGATGAATAACAACCGGAAGGAGTTGGAAAGGTTTGCCCAGGACAGGGTTGGATGGAGAATGCTGGTGAGCGGCCTATGCTCCTTCACGAGGAGTAACAGGTGTAAGTAACGAAGTAAGGTGACTAGGCATGTTTGAAGTTGTTGCAAGCTGAATGTGGTTTGGATGTGTTACAAGTGAAAATAGCTTTATTGAGAACAACCATGTCACAAATCGAATCTAGATAACTGTGAATGAAATTAGTCATGAACACGCCACTTGAGCATCCCATTTTAAAAGTTCGACATGGTGAGGATCTGAAGCATACGTAAAATTACAAGCTCATTTTATTTGATTCATCATGGAGGATTTTTTTATTTAAACAATTTTACGAATTCATAGTATTTTAGTAAGAAATGAGATGTAATACACTCGAGTGGTTATCTCATAAACCATTAAGATTTATGAGTGTAAGAGTATTGACGCTTGTCTGGAATTAAATGTCGCACATGATTGCTATAAAATTACTTGATTTATGCAATCCGACACAAAACATGGGGATTCAGAGATACGTTAAGGCAACTAAACAACTAAATTTAAGGGTTGATACACACATTTACAAAGATGACGATAAAGTCGAGTCCTCAAAGTAATAAAGCAACACCAGGATGTGCAGATTTTACGGAAGCTGGTAACTAAATTACGTTTCTATACTTTAAGTATCCGACGACCATGTGAACTATTTGGTTTAAAGTTAAGGTTTTGAAATCCCAGCAAGTGAATTCCCTGCATTCCCCAGATTTGTTCAAGCTCATGATTTTATCCTTTTAATTATGTCCAAACACTCCATCATTTGTCCACAAAGAGCTGACATTTCCTAAGTGTTATTAATGTGAGATTATTTTAAGGCATAACCAGAGGAGAACAAACACTTTACTTTCCTGTGTATCAAGGCACTTTTGGGGTTAAATGCAACCCAATACGCGATATATCCACGGAATTTGAGCTAAACCAGTGGTTTGTGGGCCATGGGTGAGAAGGCTAACTTGTTAGATTACCCGAGTTATAAATCCGAAACGTACATATCTACCGAAATGAGTATAATTCCAGATCTTGGAACTAGACAAGTGTACAGAACAAATCACTTAATCAAAATATTTAGCTTGATGATTACTTGATTTCATTGGTTTTTATTTTATTTTATTTAAAAACATAAACATTAATACAAGGAGGAACCAAATAGATATGGGCCACATAAATCATTCGATTTATGTGAGCGCTGGGATACTGCCCGGGTGCCCAAACCGAAGCAGGTGGTTTTCTTAGGGGGCCACACCCGGAGCCTTGACCTGAAGGCCTAATCCACAAGAAGGTGGAGCAACGTCAGAAGATGCAGTCCCATGGCAGCCGATGATGAGCAATAGATTCGTATGCCATTTGATACCTTAGGATCCTGGAGCCTAGTGCACCACTGGTCTGGAGCCAGAGTTTTCTGACCCCCTTGGGTGAATCCTCCGTATCCACCAACCCGGTTAAAGTGCTGGACATTCGCTTTTCTCCCCTTCAATTTCGTAAACAACAGTAATGCCACAAGAAGGCAATGAGTAGCACTTCCATGTCAGTGGTTGTATGCATATAGCCACTTGAGAGCATTTCGAGAGGGATAGTTGGCTTTCGCCGCTCTGGGACGCACCAGGGTATTTGGGGGAACAGTATATTTCATTAAGGCAAATCAAAAACACTCAGATTTAACACAGCTGACAATTTTAATAATAGTAGTAGGCTGCTTTTTTGTTTATTTGACTATTGTTAGCTTCAAGATCAGGACGAAAATAACAGAAGTTCGACTTTAATCGGTCGTTAGTAGGAGTACTGAAAACAAATAGGTTGTTCATGATCAAGCTTCCTGCCTAGTGAAGGATGCATAACTAGTAGATAAGTAATAGTTATTACCGTTCTGAAATATAAAATAATTGATAAGTATCAGGGTTGTTAACCAAACGTTTAAAACGGAGAAGAAGCAAGACGTCCCTTAGAACTTACATTTTTTTGCTTGAAAACGTGAGAGGAGAAATATTTTGGAGTTAAGATCGGTCCATAAGCGATGTTTAATTTTTCTTCGAAGTGCACGAGAAGAGCTAGAATCCTTAAATGTATCTAAGTGATTCAAAACAGGAACAACTCTCGGCATTCCATGAGCTTGTATCATATTGATGAATTCAAAATGATACATTTCCAGTCCTGCACGGACATTAACGAGTAACAAAACGACATCAGCGATCTTCGCAGCATCTAACATACTGTTAATTTCACACCCACACTCGATGAAAGTAAATCTTTCCTTTTTACCGACTACTACAGTCACCGGACCTTTAATGACACCGACTGATAGGTGTGCAAAGTGTTTTATTAGTCCACGGAGAAGAGTGCTCTTGCCCGATTTCGGAGGTCCGACGATTGCAACTATATATGGTGGAGAAACAGCCGAAACATATTTGGATTGTAATAAATGATGTCTTTTAGTCTGATGGTCAAGCGTACGTTGGACTAGGCGTGATGCTTTAGTTGTGTGTTGGACAGCAAATGCCTTAGGATTGTTTTCCATTGCTGACTCTCGTGGACATTTTTTCTGCGCTTTACGACCGCTGGCGCGTGGGCGGTGCTTTTTGTTAACATCTATGTCATCAAATTTATTAGGATCTTTTAACACCATTGAAGAAAACGTAAACTCTCCCCGCCAGATTCTACAGTTTGGAGTGCACCACTTGAATCTAGATGCACGTGTGTCGGGATAGCTTGAATATACGCTAACCTTGGCAGATCAACATCCCAATAACTGAAATCATAGTGAAAGTAGTTCCACATGTAGTAAAAGTTTAGGATAACGTAGGTGGAATTTTCACTTTGTGTGGAGAAAGGGATCGTCAATCTATATTACCGTTATTCAACATGTGGTTTGGTATAAACGTTAGGTTGTTTCAAATGGTTCTGGATGGGATGGAAGCTTTCTGTTAGCAGGCTTCTTTATCTAGTAGAAGTGGATCACTGACATCGCCAGGTAGAAACCTATGTATATTTAACGGTAAAAGATAAAAAATATCGGTAAATCATTGTGGGATACTGTCCCTAGTCATTATGAATATATTAAGTTTTCTATTAAAGGACTGCTGAGAAGTCTCTCGGGCGATCTCAGCAGGCAGCGAATTTCAGCATTTGACTACTCTTAAGGAACAGAAGGTATCCCTACAGTATGTTCTGTTATTGTTGAATCTCTCGATTCCGGGTGTTACCTCTAAGGTTTGTATTGGAACTTGTCGTAAGTGGGTATTTAAGGGGATACCCGAAAGTGTTTAAGGTGTTACGAGTCGTTGAAAGGTCAACTCTGAGACATCTATACCCTGATGGGCAAGGATTTAGTTATTTGAGGCACTTCCCAATGTTTACTTTCGAGTCGAATAAAACTGCCGAAGATTAAGTGGAAAGTTCTGTCGTTAAACTGGACAAAAATGGGTTTCAGCGTTAATAGTACAAGCGTAATATTTCAGGTTATAGTGTTCCAACACTCCTAAGCCGTTTCCAAATTGGGATCTTTCTAGACTGGGGTCACTGAAGATATGTGAATAGTCTTGAAAATTTCTCGGATGAAATATTTTGCACTTTGGAGTGTGAAAAGTAAGTTCATTGTTATCCACCTGACATTTAAGTCAATTCAAGTCCTCCTGAAGTGCGATCGTACAATTTCGGATGAAAACCCCTCCCCAGGGTTTTATAACACCAGAGAAAATTAATAAATCTGATGATACCTGCTGTGGAAGATCGTTTATAGAAATAAAGAAAAGAAGACCTCATGATGAACCCTAGAGGACCCCACTGTAATAATCCATAGCCTGATAGAAAGTGAAGTTAACTCTGAGTTTAAACGGCCATTTATTTAAATATGAAGCAAGCCAATCATTTAATAATGACTTAATACCTATTCGTTTGAGCTTATTGATAACAGATATACGGTTGACTTTATCAAAAGCTTTTGAGAAGTCAAGATAAATTATGTCAACCTTTTCCTTGAGATCAAGGACGGCTTTTATCTGTCCACCGCGGTCAGAAGGTTGGTTGTACAACGTTGACATTTTCTGAAACCGTGCTACTGGGCTGAAAAGAAGCTTATGAATAGTAAATGGTTATGTAAACCATAGCATATAAGGGATTCCATAACTTCTGAGGGTATTGTGAGAAGTGCTACAGACTGACAGCTTGAAGGTTCGCTGCGTCGACCTTCATTGAAAATTTGTGATGTGAGCCAGTTTCCAATTTTCCAGTAATGTGCCTCCTCTTAGCGAATATAAGAACATCACACAAGGCGAGGTTACCAAGATTGAAGCCGCCTCCCCTAGTATAGCAGAAAGAACCACATCTGAGCCAAAAGAAGTGTTCTTGTTTAGATGCTGCGGTTTCTGATACACCGTTTTTAGCTCTCAGGTTCACTTCTGAGAGTCCTATTGAGTCGCAGGTGAAGCTCTCTTCGATGTAGTTAGTGTAAGATGGTGGAAATGTCTGAATGTGCTGCCCTCCCAGAAGATCGGTTGTGCACTGCTGTAGAGTAACCAGTAAAGCTGACATATCCAACCGTTCGTAATTCCAACACCTGCTGATAGTACGATGTTTGGTTCAGTATTGCTGACAAGATTGAGGGCCATGGCTGAATTATCATTTTTACCCCGTGGAGCCAGGATTAAGGGGTTGTCAATCAGGAATTCTTCGTTTTTAAAAATGCGGTCTAAACATGACTGTCTGTCCACCCACTTGCTAACTTCATATTTTTGAATAATCCCAGTGAGGTTGAAGAGGTGAACTTCAGTGGAGTTTTCACCTCCAGTGTAAGTGTATTCAGTGAAACTGACCTTATGAAGATTGAAATCTCCTAGAACCAAGATGTAAGTGTTTCCAGAATAGTCCCTCCAGCATACAATTGTCATATTCAGTGCCAGCTGTGAGCTTCCTGTAGATGACTCCAACTATATACATCTAGGTGCAAGACATTCTTACTGAGGATCATACGGATTTATCAAGATTGGTAACTCTTGAGTGCGTACTTTATGTACTACGAAGCAAGGTTTTAGCTACGGGGCTACTCCACTCTCGATTCCTGTTTTTGTCGTTGCAAAATAAAGACATAATCTGAGATGTCCATGTTTCAAATATTCCTGTCAGATGGTTGTTACTAGCGTTACTTAGTTCACACAACTCTATTTTGTTCATTTAAATCGCGGCGTTCCTATATTGGCAGTTAATTATTTTGATTTAGACGCGCAAGCTTCGTCGACAAGGGGAATAAACCTATAACACCTAATATAACGTCGTAGTTGTTCAGTTGGCTACATTGATGAGGGTGTGTGAAATATAAAGCTCACTTCACTTTCCATGTACTCTAGTGACCTATGCAACGTGGAAGTAAAAGTTTGAACAAGAAGTGTGCTTAATGCCCGTTGGACTCTAGCATGATTCCAATGAAACGGATATCCTACTTACTTCACACACTCTGGGTCAAATCATGCTGATACAATGTGGATAATACAAATCAGAAGCGAATTGTAAGTAGGACGCATCTATTTCAGACATACTAATCCGAATCGCCAGGCAATTTATAAAGTATCGAATTTCGATGGCACTTCGAATTGGAAAGTGATGTGATTTAGTTTTTATCAGCGTGAGGGGGATATAAGTTAGCACGCAGATCACCAATGCTAGTGAATTATGTCGATGGTTGAAGGCCTTTACCAGCTGGGGGAGGACGTTATGGCCTCCTAACTTATGTCGAAGCCATACCATGAGTTCCACGTATAATGTGGGTCTCCCTTTCGTCGTATCCATCTTCTACGGACATTTTGATGATGGCGAAGAATGAACATAGTGATACCACAGAAATTTATTAGTAGGGATATGTAAAAGAAACTGCGTGCGGCCGCTGCTGTATGGATTAATCCATGGCTGGTTGTCTTTGTTCCTGGCGAGGATCGGTATGCTTTTGATACGTGGTGACATGACTGACGGAGCACATTGCATCCCAAGTATCCAAAGCCAGAAAGCTCATCGGACTCAAAATGAATAACTTCAATAATCTCGAATAGAGGTTACTGTTATACAAAGAACATATCTATTTTTAAATTCGGTATTTCAGTTTACAGTAGTTGCAGGCATAATGACCTGATAAGAATTAAAGGTGTTCAAAGAAGGTTCACTAAAGATGTTTTGGGATATTCCGACAACAAGGATTATCACCAAAGTTGCCAACAACTCAAATTAAAACCTCTCTGGATCACACGTATCAAATTAAACCTTGTCTTTATTTACTGGTTTATGAACGGTATTTCTTACTCCGTGGCACCACCCCTTCGTGCTCTGTGATATCATCCCGCGACCTACTCAATGAGGAAAATATTCTAGCGATTCCGAAAAACTACACAAACGTATGCCAAATTTTTTCGTTATTCGCCACTCAACCATGTAGAACAGACTACCGAGGAACCTCCGTCGCAATGAAATTGTAGTGGGATTGGGCCCTAACCACACAATCATGAAGGCTGAACACGAGATAATTGGGGAAACGGATATTCAGCATTTAATTTGGAGAAAAACACAACGATGAAGAAGGCGGGAAGAATTAATTCAATGGGTTCGTATTGATCGGATCGCATGGCTCAGCCTTGCAGGCTTGGTCACACTTATGTGACTTTCTCTTTGTCCATATTAAACATATTGTTCTATCTCCAGCCTAAATGTGTTGTACATCATAGATTGATGATTGTTACAACACGATGAATTTCGGTGGACTATGATGTGACTTCCATGTAATATCTTATAAATTAGGCAGTTACACCATGACAAATCTAAATTTTTTGGATTAGGTCTATTATTATACTAGTACTGTAGTGAACAAGAACACGGGTGGGGACAATCGAATGTATTTAGCACAAAATTACAGACTACCTCAATAAAATCTGAATACCATAAAGTCAATCGTCAATTTGCAAAATATCAATGCGTCATACCAAACTGGACTGTTCCGTTGCAAACACTAATCCATTGTCTCCCATTCCATTGTACATGCGTTTTCTTACGAATTCCATCGTGCTCTCGCTCTTCCTTTCTCGATCTTCACTTCATCTTCTGCTGCCAGATATTACTTTTTAACTCGCGACATATACTACTTATATCAATATAAGTAGCACACACCATAGTACTGATATCACAATACACCACAATTCTACAGAAATACATCCCATTTCAGAAGTTTTCTTGGTTTTCTTTTTGAAAGTGGATTGTGTCACCTATCGAATATTAATGTGTTTGACAATAATTTAAACAAACACGGTTCGTTATCTATCTAATTGATTGTTACGGGAGAACTGAAAACATTTGTCTGATTTAAATCTACTTTTGTATATAAATAATTTTACTGTGTTTTTGAACGTAACTGTTTTACTTAACTTTTGAACTTGTTTGTTTATATCACTAATATCGGACACTTTGGTTTCTCTTTGTCATTGGTTTGGTATTTGGGAGTTTTTGCTCCGGGAACCTACAAAGTTGAATGTTTGTTTTGTACTTGTTATAATTATTGTTGTTAGAACGACATTTGGGTCGACTATTTGTAAATCGCGAATAAACTTTGGTATCTAATTGGAATTTGGTTCTATTATTAATTTGGGTTCGTGAATTGAAAATTGATTATACATACCGTGCTTCAATAAAGGGAACGAGCAAA